ACTTAAACAAAAGATGAAGCAACAACAAAATCAAACATAATACAATATACATGTAAGGACCCAACAGACAAAATACTGATAAAAGCCGACATAATTTTACTTCATTTGTACATGAAGTTTTCTTGAAGGTGTCTTGTTTGTAAGATTGTAACTTAAGGGCCAGGAATTTTTCAAAGGTCATACAAAGTGCTAAAGTTTGAAGAGACATACCTCAGAGTTGCTGGGTGGGTGCAGATATGGTATCTTCAGCAGGCCAGTCGGTAGAGACAGGGACGACTTCAGACCAACATCTACCAGTATTCTGTACACACACTGTTCACACATGGAACATATACATTCATCGTACCAAAATAATCAAGTACAAATGTACACATACCAGTAGGAGAAGTAAGGTTGTGTTCCAAATCATGGGTAGTTGTTTATAAATAAAACAAATACAGCAAAATCTCAAATGTTGTCACTAATCAAACAAGTAATGGTTTATAATCCAAAAAAAACTTGCAGACATCATACTTGAATTTAAGGTAAAATAAAATTTAAAGCTAATATTAAAGTCAGAGAAGGCCACAGTGAAATTGTCAGATTTGATGTAATAACTTGTTACATGTATTTGAAGATACACATGGCCAAAAATCCTCACCTTGATATGCTTGCCCAGCGTGACCACAGGTGGAAGGTTCTTCAGTTCCACAGGAAGGGACAGCTCTATTTTTCTAAGCAATGCAGTGGAAGAAACAACAAGTCAATCTTTAGCCTCAGCACTGCAGTGCAAGCATGTCTAACCCCTGGAAGACGGGGAACAACAGACGATAAACTGGACAGTGAGTGAGTGGGTGTTACATGTTAGCAAACACTAAATCTTTTGCAGTACATCATTTTGGTTGGAATGAAATCTAAGGCCACACAAAGTAAATTTTTTGGATGACGTCCTTTGGAGACCCTAAATCTAATGCGAGAGGGCGAAAGAAAAACAAGTAGGGCCCTAAAAAAACAAGATGCCTAGATTAGAAATATACTAAGAGACGACAAATGTTAGGACACGAATTGATTGAGGTGACACAGTGTAACAAGCAAGAAGTCTTTTATTCATCATCAAAACAGCAATAAATCAGGTGGAACCGTGGACAGTGAAAACAGGATGGCAAATAGACACTTTCTTCTACGGGTCAATCTGACGATTTGCGGCGTGACTCTTTGGTCATAGTTACAGGAAGCGGAATTTCTTGTTTTTTTTTCTAGGAACATGCCAGAATCAATGCGCGCGTGGACGTCATCCATAAAATTTACTTGGTGTGGCCTAACATATTGATGACTTACTTGTTACTTGTTCCTTCCCGTGTCTCGCTCCACACTTTCTCCACCAGTGGCCCTGGCTGCCCTGCAGAACTGGACATCCGGTTTCTCACCTTTGATGCTTCTGCTGCTGTACAGACCCACTGACCCTTCATGAGATGCACTACTCTCTTCATCTGCAAGGGGGAGATACAAAATGCAAATTGAATTGAAGTCAACAAACGTTACACATGCATTGAACAGGGCTCGACATTCATTTTTGGGAAAAGGTGCTCTGGCGCACCCAACCTAAAAAATTAGGTGCACAAAATATTTTTTGGGTGCACCATATAAAACAAAACCTAATTATCAATCTTACTGCACCTCTTCTAAGCTTGAATCTGAAATGGGAACTCACTTCAAAATCTTACACAAGTACTACAACAAAGATTATTATTTTTCTGACCCTTAGGCCACACCAATTTAATTTCTTGGTTAACGGATTCGCCGCTTCATTTTTTTCTGATTTGCAAATAAAAATAAAAATTCAGAATCAACTGCAAGATGCTCATATTTTGCCCTGAACAGTTGAAAACAGTCATTTTCTAGCTACATGTACTTGTTACAGTCATCCCATATTTCAATGCAGTGGTATCATAAAATTCATTGTTCAAATATTGAACCAGCCTGGTGTGTTGACTTCATGTCTCCCATCTTAACCATTTTGGGCCATAATAGGATGCCTAGGCCTGTTTTTATTTATTTTTTTTTCTCGCCCGCCCGCTCCATTATTTTTCTGGAAAAATCCGTTAACCAAGAAATTAAATTGGTGTGGCCTTAGATGCCAATAATATCCTGTATACTATTATACATTCAATATGTACAAAAATACCTACAAAAATATTTGGGTGCACTGGTGCACCCACAGAAAAAAATTGGGCGCACATGCACCCAGTATTTCGAGCCCTGATTGAAGAAGAATCACAGAAAGTCCTTTTTCCAATATAAAAATAAACATGTATTTAAATAAAACAGCAGATGTATAAATTGCAGAAATGTAATGCCTTTCCCTGTAGCAATTACTGGTATAGTATGTAAGACACACGCCATATGGGAATTACCCAGAATTTCTGGAACTTCATTTCAACTGATAAATGGTAGACCGTGGACCTTACTGACCTGCCGGAATACCATAATAGCACTCTGAAGAGCCTGGAGTATATATCTATCACCTGTTGTAACTTTGTCATATAAATATAAGTTGCTAGACAGCACTAGAGAGTACAAACATCTGCTGGCGTAGTGTCCCCATATTTCTGTACAAATATGTAGTGTACTGTACATAATTCATTTTTTTTCTGATCCTTTCATCTTTGCAGTATGTTTGTTATCTGCAGTGTGACAGGAAGATGCTAGGGGGCTTGCCAACTCTTTACCAAGCTGTAAGGCCATGTTGATTTGATTATATGGATGACATCTGCGCGGGCATGAATTTTCGTCCGTTTCCCCCCCCCCCAAAAAAAGTTTCTTATTTTGAGGAGGGAAACACGGGGGAAACTGTCAAAAATCGAGGGAACGCAAACTGAGATCGGCTCACTTCCGGGTGCATAACGCCAAAATTTCTCGACGATTGTATAAAAATGACCACTCATTTGCCGCCTACGGTAGCGTGTACATGGTAGTGCGATCATATCGTGCCAAAGTCAGCGTCAAACGTCAGAAAATCCCCGTAAAAATATAGTTGCAAAACACATTTCCCGCGCACTCATGGCCGGCCGCCGGCATGTGAAGCAGCATGCTCATTATAATATGCAAGTAGCTACGCTCTGATTGGTTCACCTTAGATGACCTGCGCTCTGATTGGCTAGAACGAAGCCCGTTGCATGCTGGGGCGCCCTTCCCCGCGCGAAGTGCGATCTGGAGATAGCCACATTTACGCTGGTTTCTACCTTATTTCTACGACTAATTAGCAAAATCCTAGTGACGAAATGCGTACTCAAAAGAATTTTCGGGAAAAATACATATGCACATGTGGATTTGTGGTGCCTTTGGCGTAATTTTGTTGGTCACGTACAACGTAATGTAACACGGAAGTGCACGGAGTCGGAGTCGCGGCACGGCTTTCTGTCCCACTCTAAACAAAACCCCAAGGACATAACAAAACTCCCCAAAACTGGTCAATAATTAGCCATAAAAATGTTTGTGGGCACGTGTAAATATGCTGCCTTTTTTCGAGTGTTATAGGAATTATTCGCGATATTTTTGCACATCCCTAACGTTACCTCACGCCGGGCCCGCCGCCTATTATGTACGGCGGACCGGGGTATTTATAACAGTTAATTCAGATCATCTAGGATTGCATATTCGGTGGTAAAATAAGTAAACAAACAGAGAAAAACAGCAAAATAAAGTTGACAAACTATAGAAACGCTTGCATGGGCAACACTGACAAAAGAAAATGTCGATCTAATTGATGCGCCGGTTTTAAACGTTACTGTTATATAGTAAAATGCGGGCTAGATCAACGTTCCTTTCGCTGTTCCAGCGGTGTGTATCGGTAATTTCCCGCCCCGCATGAGGTAAATTAGTACTCCTCCCACGATTCCTGTGATGTTACCGCGCCTGCATATGAATGGAGAAGTCTGACGAAAAAGAAACGCGTTACTTTCGGAAAAGTAACGGAAAACTTTCGGAAAAGTAACCAGTTAATAACGGAAAACTAACGGGGAAAAAACGCGTTAGTAACGGCCCTTAGGGTAACTATAACGCGAACGGTACTGTATTATGGCCGGGTCCTTGCGCCGGGAGCGAAATGCTTGCTCCGGCGCATGGGATACGCAAAACCCCCATTAGCGGCCTCGGACCGGACCGGGCAGCGGTTTAGGTGGACCGGGCAGGGCAGCTAAGTCCGAATACCCATACTGTGTCATTTATTCAGCCTTCAAAACCACATAGATTTCATAATGAAGGAAACTTTTTGGGGGGGGCCAAACTTTTTTTTATTCGCACGCTCGCATCAGTTTTGGGGTTCCCAGAGGATGTCATCCATATAAATCAATTCAACATGGCCTAACAAGAAATCAGAGATTTCGGGAAGTATGCAATCCCTGGCTTCCTGAATTCCCCCATGTTGCCTCACTGCCTACCAGGCAGATTCTGAAACCTTTCACCTCCTGTCATTCTGCCTGTCAATCTTCCCCACACCCACATGCTGTGAACATTCTGTGCACCCAAAACAACTTCCATAAATATCAACAGAACCAACTCCTTGGTGGAAATATTTATCAAAACACACTTCTTCGGTTGCAGAATGTACTTACATTGACCCTGATATTTCTGATTTTGACTGATGTACTATTGCTGATGTCTACACTGACAGTGCCTGTGTCCCCCACTGTGTACTCTGTCTTATCCAAACTGTGGGGAGAGAAGGAGAAAAATGCTTCAGGTTAAGATATCAAAGTTAAGATGTCCTTCCACACTTTGGTAATGATCCATCTTGACAACAAGGCTAAATGTAAAAATAACTAAGCAGATAAAACACTGTCCATGCAATTTTCTGGGAGGAGTCTTTCTGTATATCATTTCATTAGTTTTTCTACATTTTTCTAAAAATTTTTATCCCACATATCAGCACATATAGTTTTTTACAGGCCTCCTTGTATTGAAATTTATCATATGATTAGTTAGATACATGTATATGACAATGAATGTATCTTCTTCCTTGTCAATATCTTGATAGTTCCTATCATAAGAGATGACAGACGTAATTAAAATGTCTGGGAACATACCAGAAGTTCCCGTGCACATGTTATCTCACGTTATCTTACCTTGCCACTACAGTGATATCTCCCTGCCGATAACACCCACATTTCAACACCTCGCTCTGGTCCTCATATCTCACCGCATCCTTCAACAGGGAGGGCTCAACCACCTCACGGATAATCAGGGGTTGAGAAACCTGTATACATATATATATATGTATAAGAAAAAAATCTTTAGCAAGTTCTTAAAGAAAAGCATCCTGTTAAATACGAGAATGCAAATCTTACTGCAAGAAAAATTCTCAAGAAAAAATATCTTGCCCCATTGACAAACAAGACAAAATATCTTGCCCCATTGACAAACAAGACAAAATATCTTGCCCCATTGACAAACAAGAAAAAATATCTTGCCCCATTGACAAACAAGAAAAAATATCTTGCCCCATTGACAAACAAGAAAAAATATCTTGCCCCATTGACAAACAAGAAAAAATATCTTGTCCCATTGACAAACAAGAAAAAATATCTTGCCCCATTGACAAACAAGAAAAAAATATCTTGTCCCATTGACAAACAAGAAAAATATATTCGCCCCACTGACAAACAAAAAAATATCTTGCCCCATTGACAAACAAGAAAAAATATCTTGCCCCATTGACAAACAAAAAAAATATCTTCACTACCAAAAATGGTTTCTCTTCTTTATCTTGTTCTTGCAGACAGAAAATTTATCTGTGTCCAAGAAACATTTGAAAACTTATTTGTCAATGGGGCAAGATATTTTTCTTGTTTGTCAATGGGGCAAGATATTTTTTCTTGTTTGTCAATGGGGCAACACAGACAAAATACAGGGAAAAACTTAATTAAGATGAAACATTTAAGGCTTTTACAGGAAAACATATAAGCTAGTGGTTGCCTGTCTGTCATCAGTTCAATTAGAATGACCCACAGGCTTTTAATTATGTCCATTTTGAGGTCATTTGGAGGTACTTCCCAGCAGAAATTAGATCTGTTGGGACATTTCTTTATTAGCTTTTAGGCATTTTGTTGGGCTTTCTATATTCCTCACCCATCCCAAAAAAAACCCCAACAAATTAGAAAGCCCGACAAAACATTGACCTGAAAGAAAATGTCAAAAGCAGGCATACATGTAACCTCTACTTGGAGAGTCATGTGCAGGTCTAATTACCTGTAACTAACATTTGTTTGACTCACAAGTGTTTTTGCTATGGCCAGCAGTAGTACTTTTTCTCACTCTGTACATCAACACAACTTTATCTACCAACTCTAGAACGAGGATTTAGAAATGATGATAACAGCATCCCTTGAATAACTTCCCCCTGCCTTGCATGAACTGGCAGAAAGTCAAGAAAGCTAGCTGCTGTAAAGTTTGTCCCTGACCCCCTGAGTTTGCCATTGACTGTAGGAGGGTCTGCATGGGGGTGGGAGGGTGTGGTGAGGGGTGGGGTGGGGGTAATCCTGGCAATGCTTAATTTACCGGAGGGATGACAACACAGTAACATGGGTTTTATATTGGTTTTAGGAATGGCTTCATTGGAATGTTCTGTTGTATTCATGACAAAACTAGACTAAGTCTAATGGGGACCTTGGACGCCCTGTTATGATTTTTTGGGCAATCTGACTCTCGACAAAGAAATAAAAAAATACCCCTCAAATCAAGAAATAACATGCTGCGTGGAATAAAAGCGACCAATTACGCTTCATGACGAACTTTCCGACAATGCTTAAAGTTGAATTACAGCAGCCGGCTATAGTTCACAGTTAAAATGGCTCGCTTCGCCTTCCAGAAAAAGGCCATGCAGACCCTCCTGTAGGTATGACATCACCCTTCCCTGGCCCTGGGGGGTGCACCGACATGACCTGAGCTTTCCTGGTCGCCCAGTCAGCACAAACTGGCTGGGGGGACTAACAGATGTCCTGCCAAGGGCAGAGTTATCCTACATCAATTTTGTTTGGCAGGCTAGTGGAGTGAAATACATACACTTTGTAGACCTATAGTAACAAATGATTATGCAATCTGTACGATCTTTGTTTTTCTCTCCAACATTATCCCTGAACCCTATTATTAGTATTAAAACAATATCATTTTTAAATTAAAAATAGGAACATTTTTAAAACATTAGAACCATGTCCATGGCAGTGTAACTGGATATAACTATTAGTATAACCCTCTCACAGCCTTATCTGAAGAGGGTTTCTATGTATACATGTATTAAAGATTGACTGGAAGAATCAAGTTTTAACTCTCTCTGTCTTTTGGTGCACTGTTAACAGAATTCCAGTTATAAAATGAAGACATGCAAAGGCCTTGACATTGAGTCTATGGCTACTGTCCAACAATCTTGAATGAATCTGAGCACCATCCTATAAGTTTGGACTATACAAATACATTTAAAAAGTAAGTAGAATTTTTTTTTCATCCCTCATCCAATTATTCAACTAAGGTTTTTTTCCTTTATTAGATTCAGTCTTTTTGCATGTAGTATCTTGTTCATCAAAAAGAAAACAGTCAGCATCTCAAGTTATAAATTTGAAGTATATGATTTCAAAGCACCACAAAAGGAATCAGAAATGTTCTCTGAGTAGATTTGCAACTTGAAAAAAATCTACACTGAAACTCTGCAGTTTCAAACTGCAGAATAGTTCACAAGTTTATACAAAACATACTTTAGGCTTCTTACACATTATATCCAATCTCACACACCTTCTGACTTTCTGGCAAGCAAAAGACAGAGTATTAGTAACTTTCTGGCAACCAAAACACTTCCACCACAGCTCTCTAAACACTGGGCACTGAGTGATACCATCTTTAATTGAGACCAGGAGTGATGTGCAAAGCCAAGGGCATGGGAACTGGCACACACTTCTACACGTCTGGCACCTGACCAAGACGTGTGTTTTTCTGAACAAATCCTCTGAGGACCTTGTCTATGTACTTGCCTTTAGGTTGCTTTCTTTCCCAATCACACAAGCCTTGACTTCGTACTTGATTGTGGCCTCATACAGTGGGCCCTTACAGTGGAAAGTGGCTACGCATAAAACAGACACGGTTCGTAAAAAAATAAAACGGTTAACACAACATATAGAACAGTAAAAATCTACTAAATATGCATAAAAACTATACACAAATGCAAATATAAAATTACTCAATTCAAGGGAACAGAATACAATTCAGTTTAGTAACTTGTAAATCATTTCATTATTAATAGACACGAACTAAAAATTATTAATGTAACAATAAACAGTGAACTTCAACACAGTTCAAGCTCAACGTTATATATTGATATTTTCCCACAACATTTTCCTGCACTTCTGTACTTACCTGGTAAGTCAGCCGGTAGTTCATACTGGAAGGGGAAGACATAGCACCCTAGGGGGATGGGTTCTGGAAAATAGAAAGGTATTCAGACCTAATTAATACTTAAATGTTAAAGTTTTACTTGAAATTAGACAAGGAAACGTAAAAATCTAGGAGGGTGAAATGTTTTTCAACATCACAGCATACAAAAATTTTGCATAGAATAAATGAATGAAAATGGGAATGACAAGGGGATTATAAATCACAAAAAGTAATAAAAAAAGTAACCCTTATATCTGACCTGAGCTTGTATAAATGGGCACTTCCACATCAAAGTGTTCTTTACGACCTCTCATGACGGAGAACTCTCCCGTCCCAGAGTACCGTTGTGACCCCCTCTCTTCATAGTAAACTGGACAAGTGTCAAATTATATTAGTCATGTACAGGATAACATACTAGTATGTCCACTTTAACATACTGCAAGTCATAGTAATATATAGTAATATTAAAATCATTATCATTAAGTAAGTAGAAAAATTGAATGGTTATTTTATAAATATGACTAACTGTTTTTACCACAATGCTATTTTTCCACATACATGGCTAGTCACCCAAAAAAACATCTGTTTGATATATAATAGATTCCACACTGATTCTTGGAAGCTGAGCCCAAAGAATGATTCACACCCCTCTTGTTTGACCCATCCTTGGTAGTAAGAAGAGGGTCCATTATTTGTACCACCCCAGGAAGTCTACCGTAAAGACAGAGACCATGACTCATCACCCTCCCATCAGTACCATCATGGGACAGAGCGATCTGTTATCCTCATCTAACACTGTCTAAGTCCACTCAAGATGAGCATGGGGAAATGAGTGTGACGAAAGAGTATCTTTCTCTTTTAAGTTGCAGTCACATTTATCATATACACACCACTTGTACACATGCACGGTTTTCACTGGCCTTCAAAAACAATCTAGGACAACTTGTTGCATCACAAGACAACTGAAGTTTGTACCACACATTGACAACTGTTTCCAAAAATGCCCTTGTTACTCCGTGAAGGAGGTCAGGGCCTCCGGACGGAGTGTTGTGAAGAGCCGCTTTTTTGTGTTCGCAGTCAAAACACTGGGTTCTCTTTGTGCAATCGGCATGCAATTTTATACGCCGTCTGCGGGCATGCCCGTGTTGATGCACGGATGTGTATTTTTGCCATTGCGGCTTTCGCGGTCAATGTAATATTGCAGATGCACCCCTACAATTATGAGGCAAATTGGAATGGTCCAGAAAAACCCGTTGTTTGGAATGGCGGTGGGGGGGGGGGAACTTCAGGCAGATGGTGAGGGGCCGATAAGTGGTACCACGGCAGTAACACTCGCGGTGCTGGCTGCAACTGTTGCTGGAATTTGCCAGTCGCGCTTAATAATGAGGCACGGTAAGACGGTGGGGCTGTCTTTGTTACTAGTGACACGACCATGATAGTCCGATCTTTATGTGAATGCAATGATTGTGTGTGTGTAATTAAAATGAACTTCGAACTTGAAGCACAGTATCTTTACACGCCCTGAGAGCAGTAATGGATTTAGGTCTTTTTATGTTTTATGGTTGTGACGCGCCCTCATTAACCATTGCCTTATGTCTGCACAGTAGGTCTGGTGTTGACGCTTGGGATTATTTTTGTTGCAAAATATAAAACTTCACGGAGGATTGTCGCCTATGGCTTCTTGTTTTGCTGTTGTAAAGCTATCATGCCACAGATGTGACTGGGACCTCATTCACCTTATACACATGTGACCTCTGCTTCAACTCATGTATTGTATTACTAGAATCCAACTGGTGTTTTGGGACTAGGAACTGAATCCAAGTACAGTACTGTACAATGAAGCTAATGACAGCAATTTGTGCCAGTGTGATACTGTCATTAGATTTGAATGAATACAGAATGTCAGACCAGATAGTGCCATGAGAGATGTCCCATTTAATTTCTGTGTCTGATATTTACATGTATTTTAATAAGGATATTGACCCTGGCTCTGGCTAGTCTGGGTCACTATCTCTGGTACAGGTCACAGTTTTGAGAGAGAATTAAGTGATGTTTAACACAATCATCCATTGACCGTAAGCATGTCCCAATGGACATACACTTACACCATGCAGTTTTAATAGTTATCAACGTGTCTTGACAAGACTGTAGGCTGGAGTCCCACGCCCATAAATATGACACCTATATATAGTTGGGTATTTCAGCATTCTTCCTACATGCACATGACCACAGCAGTCTACATGTAGGTGCTTGTCTGCATACTGTAATTCACTTTATGTAACACACTAGCAAAAGTTCACGGTCTGAGAAAAATGGACATGTTCACGGAACTATGTACGACTGTTGAATGATGACATTTAAATATTTGTGCGGCCTCCTTCTATTTAGAATATCTTATTTATGAGTAAAACGTTTCAAAATGTAATCTCAAATTTGTTTTTAATATGTCTGGAAATTTATATTGAATGATCGTACCTTCCTGTTTCAATCTATTTGATAACAAATGTATTATGTTGCCAATTAGTCTAAGATGAATGAATTGTTAAAGAACCACAATTCAGCCTATGTAAGGCACTAAGGCTGCCAGTGTTTTTATCGTCAATAAACCATAAACCATTTCATCATCAACTACATGTATGTATTCACAAGTCCAGGAATTATCTGTTAACTGTAAATGATATTAAAGTTCACGGTACAGAAGAGAAAACAGTGAACAGTAAGGTGAAAAAATCATGAATAATAGTACTTACAGTCTTCATACCCGTGGAACTTCAGCTTGACCCCAGTCCCTGACGTAACATGGTCAATCTGGAGATACACCGCTCTGGAATAAAACAAGATGTGATCACCAGAATGCTCACATGTTTCCAACAAGTCCAAAGAAAATTTTGGAAATCTAGAGGTAGAACCATGTACTTCTGATACTACAGTCTTTTCCCTGGTTTAATTCCCTGAATTTAGACAATCAACACAAATAGTCGTCTCAATTCCTCTAAACTTTAGAAATAAATTGATTTTTGTTCACATTTATCAAATAGCTCCTCCAAGATAGCTCACAATATTAAACTGTCTCTGTGGACTTACTTTGAAATCATTGCCAAAACATACCCTAATTTACATGTCAAACAATTCAGCAGTATAATAACGTTATAAAATGTCAATCATTCATAATACGTTCAAAGTTCAGACAAGCCCCATACCATACTTTAGTAATTTGTTTGTGTATATAACCTTGACCGAGCTAAACGAATTACATACCAGGCAGTGACACTAAACTCACCCATAGACTGTCTCCCCGCCCACATACACTCCCTTGTTGGTCCTCAGAGCGAGCTCGTTCATTTCCAAAATAACAAGTTGTTAGAGATATCACATGGAAAGGTCTCACGGTCAAGTACATTCCCGATAAAACGTGGGCGATTCTCCGATAGGATTACAAAATGTGGCCGCAAGAAGTCTTTTGGTTCATCCTGAATGATTATGTCTCGAGAGGAACTATCCCAGAGTCGGTTGCTCGCATATGGGCGGGATAAAATCGCTGACTTCCCCCTAGAGGAGAGAACTCGGAAGTGATCACAACTTTCACTTTGGGCATGAGCGCAACCAAACAAAAGAGTCGCACAATTTCTCTTGAATAGAAAAGTTAAAATTCCTTACATAGTAAGGACAGTATTTTGCTAGCTTTTTAAAGAGTTTGTGTCATGAAAAAAAGAGTAGGTGCAGATAATTCGGACAGAATGTTCAAAGATACGTGCTCGTACTGATGCGGTGAATGGCACTTTTCATTACTGAGATAGGGAAAATTTGACAAAAAGGATAAACGTTAAAACTGACAAATTACTCAATCTACAAATCAAAAATTTTTAAAATCAAATGTCTATAGAGATAGAGTTATCGTCAACCACGATAAATGTCGAATTCTTATGACATTGTAGAGAGTTTGAAACACCCCTATTCACCGACAGTTTTGTACTCGTCTACTCACCTTTGACACGGTTAGTCTAAGCTTCGATGCGCCGCCATTTCTGACTTTTTGTCTGGAGAATTTCTAAGATTTCTGGTGCCTCTGAAAGAAATTGAGGATGGAGGAAGTCGTGGCGAGTGTCGGAGGGATCAGGTTTGAGATGGAGATCGCGATTGAGGAGCAGAGAGGCTCACAGCCGCTTCCTTTCCCCGGAATGGACAGTGAGAAATTTTACCTGCATACAAAACTGCACGAGGGATTCTAGCGTGGGGAGGGGGGCATGTTGAAATATTGTAAATTCTGAAGGGAATACTAGTAAACAGTAATTCAGTTACGATTAGTTAAATTGTGCAGTTGTAAGCTACACTACACACTTGACTTGTTGCTCATAAACCTCTAGAGCCTCTAAAAAAACTATAAAATTTATGATTTGTTAAAAAAGTCAGTAGATCTGTGATCTTTTTTTCTTCCCAACTTTTGTCGTCAAGTAATTTAACATTTATGCTTTCAAATATCAGAGTTACTAGTATGAACCAAGAATCCAAGTGCTCAAAAAATAGTATTTTCCAAGAACTATCATAGAATGGAACAGTTGGAGCATCAGCTTTAATTTAAACAACTCCTGTAATAATTTAAATGTGCAAAGACTGAGTCTGAGTGTAACAAGTCGTTCAGTGTGATATAGCTAGCTGCCGCCATGCTGCGTGCCTGCGAAGCTGGTGTGTTACTCCGAAGGACGGTTATACTGGCTATACCGATACAGATACGATAATGTTAAAAAAGGTCAATTTGTGTTTCTTTCTTAGCACCTTTTGTCCTCAAAATGAACATAGACTGATCACGGCTAAATGTGCAAAAATTGAGTGTAACAAGTCGTTTGGTGTGATATAGCTAGCTGCCACCGCGCTGAGTGCCTGCGAAGCTGGTGTGTTACGCCGAATGCCGGTTTTACCGGCTACATTGATACTGATACAGATACGTCTGTACTCTGTACCTTTTTTCCTGCTAGAATCCGGAGCTGCGATCTGTGACTTCTTTGTGCGTGGGAGCTGTGTGAAGGGTGCGAGCTGTCCCTTCAGACACGTGCGCGGGGAGAAGAGCGTGGTCTGTAAACACTGGCTGAGGGGGCTGTGTAAGAAGGGAGACCAGTGCGAGTTTCTACACGAGTACGACATGACCAAGATGCCTGAGTGTTACTTCTATTCAAAATTTGGTAAGTAGATGTTACATCTTTTTTCAAGATTTTATTGCTGTGAAAATTTTTGTCCCATTTACAATGTAAGTATGCTTAACAATAGAAATCTATGCTAGAATCCTTCAGCTTGATATAAGTAAATGCGTCCTTTATATTGATGTAAAATAAGCCATGACCAAGATGCCTTAGTGTTAATTCTTGGTAAGCAGATGTTACTTTCAAATCTTGAGTGTTTTTTCAAGGTTTTATTGCAGTCAAAATGATTCTCATTTACACATTATGTAGGTACGTTAACATTAGTCTTATGAGAATAGAAATCAATACTAGATTCCTTGGTATGAATAAATACATCCTTTATATTCATATTTATATAAAATAACCCATCTTGGAGTTGAACCCACTTTGTACATTTTTTTCATAAAACCCATCCATTAAGAACTTTGGACATATTAGCCTTACCCCTGCTCCCTAAATTGATAGCCAAATGGCTACTTCGGTGTGCTAGAGATTAAGTAACTTTGGAATAAAATTAACTCATGTTGTTGTTTTTTCTCTCAGATTAGTGATGCATACCGGTTCACTGGACTTGGATCCGGACTTGTAAGAATGCAAAAAAACCTAAAAGTCAAGGACCGAGTCCGGACTTATTACCATAAAAGACCATTTCACATACCCCTTTTATTTCCAAACCACCTAAAACCTTCCGTAGATTGCAAAATCTTTGCTGCAAAATCAAGAAAACATTGCCATCGGGCATCGTCAAGTACCAGCCTCCATGTTATGTGGCCAAAGTTTCACCCAGACAACATTGCACGATTGCCAACATGCAATTTTGTATATGCCATGGGTTTAGGTCCGGACTTACGAGTCCGGAACTGAACCTAAACCTCTGGACTTGAATCCGGACCTGAACCTAAATGTGGGTTTAGGTATGCATCACTATCTCAGATGTTATATCTTTCATTCACTAATTAGAAATGCTATGTGTTTCTGGTTTCTCCCAGGAGCTTGTAGTAATAAGGAATGTCCATTCCTGCACATTGATCCTGAGTCCAAGATAAAAGACTGTGCCTGGTATGACAGGGGCTTCTGCAAACATGGTAAGATCATAAGTTTCATCTTTCAGTCATTTACAGTGTTCGAAATACCTGTCTGCAGTCTGCAATCTGCAGATAGATTTCAAAGATTGCAGAAGAAAAATTTATACAATCTGCAATTTTGCAGCAGGAAAAATTGGCACTTGGTGCTCTTGGCCCCAAGGACAGACAACACTTAAGCTCCTGTTCTGAAACAACAGGAGCTTCTTCACCAATTTACATCAACCTTGTCTTGACTTGTCTATCTTTTGTTTCCTTTTGGACTTCCAAAAATTTGTCTTGACTAATTTGCATATCAATCAATAGTTCATGCTTATAAACTTGCAAGATTGTAGTATAGAGGCTTGTGTATTTGCAGAAAGTATTTCCAAATTGCAGAACAAAATTTTGACTCTTCTGCAATATTGCAAAACACTGAAAAAAAGTATTTCGACCACTGAGTCAATGACATGTCAGCAAACAGAAGTGTTGGAAATCTTGTCTCTCCATCTTGTCATTTTCTGAGCATTTCGGCCTCTGTATCTAAATGCAGTTGAAGTATGGTTCAATTCAACAGTCAGTCAGTTGTGGGGTCGTGTGGCATACTGATAGGTCCTGGGTTCGAGTCCTGGCATGCTAAAGATCTTGTGCCCTTTGGAAAGGCACTTTACACAACTTTTCTCACTTCGCTCAGGTGAAATGAGTATTGTATTGTCTCCTGTGTTGGTGATGGCATTGATTGATGTAGCTTAAAAAAACTTGATTGTGCTGTCACCACGTCTTGTGTTTACATGTTGGGATATAAAACAACAGTCAGTGTAGATGATTTTTTTCACTCACCTTTGCTTTGATATTGTAGCATTCACAAGATAAGTTCTTACAATGCATGTATGTTGAAGTCTTGTGTGTCTTCCCTACCCAGGGCCACACTGTAAGAACAGACACGTCAGAAGAACCATGTGTATGAACTACATGGTAGGCTTCTGTCCAGAAGGGCCCAAATGCAAGTACAAGCAGTAAGTATGCAAGTTGGTAACTTTCAAGATGTTATGGTTGTTGTGTGTACTAGCTTATCAGGCACTAATTTTTCGATAATAATAACTTACATCACAGACTGTCTGAATTACAAATTGACTTTAATCAAAGCACTAAGTCACAAAATTTTCAGTTGAACATGAAATCATGAGTTGTTGCACTAATCACTGTATATTTCTTCCTTCTCTGTAGTCCCAAGTTTGATCTTCCAATTTCTGACACTGCGACAAAGAAGACGTCTATAGTTTGCCATCACTGTGGGGAGAGCGGCCACAAAGCCATCAGTTGTCCCAGTAACCCCAATGCACAGCCCGAAGCACAGGTAAGGAAACATCTCCCTGCTTGGGGTCTTTTGGGGGTTTAACAATTAATGTAATGTAGTTTTTGCTGTAGTTTCTACCTGTATAGCCAATATAACAGTCCTTCAGCATAAAACTCTTTGTAGGTGTGTGGCATTGCGGCAGCTGATTATATTACACTGAACGACTTATCATACTAAATGTTTGCACATCTAAATGCAATTGTTGTTTAACTTTGCTGATACCCCTACTGTATTTGGTTGCAACGAGTTCCACTCCACAGTTCTATGCTGTAAATCTTCGATGATTATTCAAAATGCATTTTTTCTTACAGAACTTTACATCACCTTCTCACGGGCCTGGCTACACGTTCCGACCGCGAGAGGAGCGCGGGCCCGCCGGACAGTACAGACCGCTGGAGTCTGTCACGTGTTTCAAGGTGTGTAACTGTTTAACTTTCTTACTGCTGAATTAGCCTTACTTGGTATATAGTAGAGGGGATTCATTCCTCAAGCTAACTGACATCTCGCACACGCAGTTGTCCCTCAGTAAGACATCTCGAGCCGCATAGTTCCTGTTTAGAACTTTTATTCAGCCTGTCAAACTAGATAGCTTTACTTCGGCAATAGACATTTTATATACATGTATGTCTGTTGGGCAGAGCAGGAAGATGTTTGATTTCGCTTTGTTTAAAAGAAAAGATATACCGGTAGCCGGCAGTGGTACCGCTATAAAACATTTTCACATTTTTGTACTGCAGCCACATTTACCCCTCATAAATAAGATTCCTATTTCTGTTCGATCATGGCTACTATCCAAAAGGAAACATCATTTGTATCTGTTTTAATATTGTTCATCTGTGTCCTTTCGGATTGGGAAGTAAAGCTGGCAGCCCAGTGTATGGGGACACTTATGGCATCAAAATTTGCATGTTAAAAAAGCCAGTAAACTTACCAAGAAGAACAGGGTTGACCCGGTGTGTGTTTGGTAGTAGTATACAGTAACTGTAGGTCACATTGCATGACTAGGTAACAAAAACACCTTATACATGTACTTCCATCACTTTGATATCCTCAATTTTATCTTATTATTGTTCATCCTTCCTAGTGTGGAGAGAAGGGCCACTATGCCAACAAGTGTCCCAAGGGTCACCTGGCATTCCTTAGTACATCGCTACACCCCGGTCAGCAGCACGGCTCACCCGGTCATCCTCCACCAAGACCACTCGGACCTCCCCCTACAAGACCACTCGGGCCCCCTCCACAAGTCCCCTCCTGATACGCAGTTGGAAAACAGAACTAAGAAGATGTGTACAAAAAATTGTATATATAGCAAAGAATGTCATACAGTCCATTTACAGTACCTTTGTGTCTTTTCTACACTGCCCAGAAGTTGACTATGTGGTGCTGGAGTCATACAGACAGTACAGAGTAGTAATTTTCTGTCAAAGCAGCAGTATATTGCTGACAATAACTTTAACTGTTCAACATGGTGCATGCTTCTCCAGTGTGTAGTTGTTTACCCAAATATGCAATCCAAATTGTATATATTCGTCCAACTCTGCTGCAGTATCTTTCTATCCTGCTAGATGGTGTGCATATGAAATGCAGTATGCACTGGAACAGTCGGTTATCAAAAAGTGAAATTTAAGATATCTGCGTCTTTATCCTGAGAATGTGTGTGAGGCAGCTGTGGCCATAAATACGACACATTTCTATGTGTACAAGGACATTTATGTATTAAAAACTGTCTACTCTTGGATACATGGAAGGTAGTTAGGAACATACAAATAAAGTATGACAAAATACAGACGAAATTGTTGTGCCTCTGTTGTCATCATTTGGTCGAACAAATGTCATACCACAAAGAAATACCTAACCAGGGCTGAGCAACCAGGAACAAGTGTGATGAAGTAGTACTGAACACTAGTAACGTTACATGTAATGTTAAATGTATGTAATGTACGAAATACATCTACATGTAATGTTACCAAGAGAAACTAAGGCCATGTTGATTTGATTATATGGATGACATCCTCCGGGAGCCCCAAAACTGATGCGCGCGTGCGAATAAAAAAAAAAGTTTTGCAAAAAAAAAAGTTCTTTTCATTATGAAATCTACGTGGTCATGAGGGTTGAGCAAATGGCACAGAATATGGTTTGGCGAATAATCTAGTCTTCAAGTTCATTTCTTTACATTTTCGTCTTTTTTCGTTTGATTTTAGCTTTCTACGACATTGGTATAGTTTTTGTTATTTTTTAACTTAGGCCACACCAATTTAATTTGTTGGTTCTCGGATTTTTTCATGAAAAATGTGAAGCGACAGGGCGAAAAAAAAAAAAAAACGCCCAAATGGTAAAGCTAAGGCTGGAAAAGGGATTG